TTTCAGTAAATTTTATTCGGTAATTTTGAATTCGTTTATCCTACTGGTAATAAACTAGTTAATAAATAAACAGTATTCTTCGTTTACAATTATTCCAAGCCTTTTATTTCGTTATACTCGATTTTAACATTTTTATTATCCTCGAATTGATACTTTTTTTTAAAAGAATGTTAATCTACTGAAAACAAAGATTTGACAGAACCTAGAAAAGAGCGTATAAAGCGACTTCGAGGTGCGTTTGAAAATACGTAAAACATTTGTCACTTGATTAAAAAAGTTCCAACTATAAATCGGAGTGAATTTATTATCGGGAGAGCGTTCCTCGTCGGGCTGAAAGATTAATGGTCCCCAAAGAATGAAATCTATTGGTATCGTAACAATATGTGCGCAGTTCATTAAATCTTATTCTCAGTTCAATAATCAAATTTGAAATATTGAACTGTTATTCGCCGCTCGCTTGTGAAACGGAAGTTATAACATACGTAGAATTCAAACGGCTTTTCCTAACATTTTCTGGTTCCTCGAGTATTTCCTAAAAACACTCGAAACAATCTGCACACTACAATGAATTTGTACAAACGATTCGTCTTGTAAATCAGTTGTATCATATCGCTTTTCAATGAAGTAATTATTTTAAGTATATTACGAAGAACTCGAGGAAACAGAAAATGTTAGGAAAAGCCGTTTGAATTCTACGTATGCTATAACTTTCGTTTCACAGGCGAGTGGCGAGTAACATTCAATATTTGAAAAACAGTTAACATTGTTTTCGTATTCGTTTAAAAATATTTATTTCGATATTACAGTAAGAATTTCCAATATTAGACTTGACTCGGAAGCGAATGAAATTGAATTGAAATTTTCGAGTGACGTGCATCTACAATGATCCGAAGTCTACTAATCTTGCATAAAGCAGAGGGTCAAATGTGACATTCGCAAAAATAGTTTCTCGTGACAAGCTTGATTGGTAAGTGGCTATTTTAACGGATCGCAAGACGTCGTCCTTGGAAGTGAAACTTCTAAGCGAATAAATCGAACCGGCGCGCGATCAGATGGCAATACAAAGCAATTAGCTGAAGTAATTAAACCAATACCGTGTATATCGAGCAGTTTGTAATAGCGACTACGTTAATTGCTTCACGTCTCTTTTCGCGCTTTCTTCCGATCAGGACAAGGCTCAGCTGTAAGCACAGCTTTAATTAGCCGGTGCTTCGCATCGCTGCTGAATTTAAGCAGCAGTTTTAAACAACAGTATATGTAATTTCAATGTTGTAGCTTCATTAACCTTTCAACTGGGAATGCCACTTAACTCATTAACCTACAATATCGTGTCAGACTCGTGACGAAAATTTTCAACTGAATTTGAGAAATCTAATTGCTATCTACTTTGCTTGAACATAAATTGAATATTACTTTTCCATTATCAATGGTTAGGATCTAGAGTAAACGTAGACGTAGAATAATCATTTCAGTTTTCTTTCGTATATGTAATTTTAATATTAATTCTTATACTGTCCGATTATTCAGTTTTCCAATTCTTGCCATTCGTTTTGTTTCTGTTTTCACTAGAAAACATTTGTCATCTAACTTGTTTAACTTTATCTTACTTTATTTTATCTTTATCTATATCTATATCTATATCTTTATCTTTATCTTTATCTTTATCTTTATCTTTATCTTTATCTTTATCTTTATCTTTAGTATTAAGTGTTTTTAGTATAAAACTTGTTCCGGGCAGCTTTATAATGAATTTCTCTCGGAAACGCGATACTTTTCATTCAAAATTGTAAAATTTCTATAAAAACCAATATTTTTTTAATGTTTTTATACATTTCTCTAGTGAATGTTGCGTAAAAAGTGAAAATATTTTGTTTCTTCATTTACCTCGAACGATGGTCGCGTGTGTAATCGACGCCATTGCGAGGAACTCGTTTAAATTGGTGGTACACGTACAGAATTCCAGTGCAGTGATTTTATTAAAAAAAAGGAAGAAATGTTTGAAAATATTCCTGAACATTCCAACAAATCGTATCCAGAATCTTCTTTTAAAATCATTTTTGAAAAAAAGACAAAATTCCAAAGAATTGTCCCGAATTTTGCACTGTCTCGCTATCTTTTAACAGATATAATTATGTAGACGCGTTTTAAATAATAATAAATTTATTACAAAATAAACATTACTTCACTGAATTGGCACCGTTACATTACGATATGAAGTTTATTTATTTGTAGATATTACGGTATGAAGATTCATTTTTTATTAAAAATATTGGAGGCCTCCCAGGTTAGAAACCGCGGCTCTAAATGAAAATACTAAAAATATATGAACATATAGACCGTTTATTTTGAAAATGACTTAAATTTTAGAGTCCGCTTAAAAAAGATTAAAGAAATATTAAAGGATAAGAAGATTATGTAGAATTATAACTATTATAAGGAATAACTTGATTTTCTTGAAAAATGGACTTAACACTATTCCTACCGACACTCCACGTATACCTATTCCTACCGCGACAAGTCAAATGACTGCTCTTTAGCACAACTTATATTTTTTAATATAGAATGAAGATAATAGCCAACTTGACAGTATACAAATATAGTTTCTTTTATTTAGAAGTATATAATTTACATTTTATTCGTTTTCACCGCATTTTTTACAAATAGGTTTGTCGATTGTACATTTCCCACACACGTACTTTTTACATTTTAGACAGACTTTGTTACTCTTATTGTTTGTGCAATATCTTATTTGGCATGGTTTCCATTCGCGTGAACCTGTACTTGTATTTGTGACGGGTGTTGCTTGATTTTCTTTGCCTAACTCTAGTTCTTTTTGATATTCAATGGTAAGTTCTTCTGCCAATTGAAATAAAAATTCCTGCCTTGAAATTTCTTCTCCCGTGGATTCTTTATATAAAATCCATGCATTTATCCCAGCTAAATCTAGAATATTGAAAAATACCTGTAAAGGCCATCTCCGACATTTAGATTTTACCGATTTTACCGAGGCCGATAGGCGAGCGAGAACTGTAAACACTTGGAAGTACCGTAAAATAGTCCCTGAAACGCACTTTTTGGTCTGGTAGGTAAGACAGACTACAAATTTTTCTCGGAAAATAAACAATAAAAAAGGAGTGAATATTGAAAAATGTTTTATACATATATTTTAGGAAAAGTCGTGAAGTATAAAGGCTATTCAATTACGTTGTCTATAAGAAATTCTAATCGAAATGTTAAAAACAGTCATTTGACTGGTCGTGGTAGGAATAGCGTTAAGCCACTTGCAAAATAAACGGCTCACAAGGATCTTTCACTGTTATAGAAACTGATGATTTCTAATTACAAACGCTGCTTCCATAAAACAATAACAAAATCTTACCTATGAAAAGAAGCTGTCTCTAAAGTTTTATATTGTTTATGTTTTCAAAACGAAATCTTCCTTAGGCGCACAGCGTACACACTTTTTTTGTTGGAAACGAACGAATCTGATCCATCACGCTTCGAGGTAGAACGCTCGGGTAAACTCGGCTTCCCCGAGTTTAACCGAGCGAGCGAGAAACGGCCAGTTGTGCGTGGTTGCTGCGCCTTGCTGTGTATGGTTTTTGAAGTAATTTAACAGTAGCAACGGACGTGCATGTATAAATATTTGAATATTGCCCTTTATAAATTGTTAAATCGAAGATGGATCAAAATAGCCGGTTCGACAGTATATTCGATAGTAATATTCGTATCATTCATATATATTTATATATATTTATATTATTACTGATGAACATGTTACATAGAATTAATTACAACTGCCATAGGAGTTTTCAGTTCGTAATTATTATCGTAAGTTATTATCATAAGCACACATTAACACGTTGAACGCCATGGTGGTCACCGGTGACTTCCGCCTAAATTGAATTACTGCAATTCTTTCAACCAAACGGTGGTTATTTGAAAACAGTTCTATATTGTAAACAACGTTACCTAATGCAGTGATATTCAACAAGACAAACCTCCAATAATAACATAATTCAATTCAGTAATTTAATACTGTATTTCTTTCATTTCGCATATTCTGCACTTCAAAATCGTGCGACATTCAACGTGTTAATTATTTCTTCGGACCTTTCTTTTAAACCTCTCTCAGCGTTCAACCGACAACGAACCACGTGTGAACTACTATCTATAATGTAACATCATCTACGAAAGAGTGTATAAAATACAGTAATAATAGTTAACTACTAAATAAACAAACGATTTAATACATCATTTACACGTGGTGTTTTCAACGGTTACGGGCCTAGTACGAACAAAGAAATTGTTTGAAACGGTTCTTTCGTTGTGCTGCCGGAAACGTGTTTCTCGCTTGCGCAGCCTGACGTGAAGGTAGCACCAAAATCAAACAGCGAGCACTTCATATGATTTACCGGTTTCGCGAAGTGAGTAGCTCCTGTTAAAGTTCAACAGTTTACGAAGTTCCTTCCTTCTTCCTTCATTTCGTTTTTTCCCGTCTTGCTTCTCTTCCTTTATTAAAGAACTTAATACCGAGACCTTTATTTCTCTCTGCGGAGAAATAAGTGACAGCTCAGCCACCGAATTGATCTTCGTTCCCCACGCTCTGCGAGGAAGAAAGTTCTTCCCTTTGTAGCAGTCTAGCCTTTCATATCCCGGCGTTTATTCAGACCGGTGCTGTTGCTCGCTACACGCATGTCTACGGTGCGTCATAGCGAATATGAGGCGCTCAGACGCCAGTGAAGGTTATGTTCACTTTTTAATATTTTCTTTTTGTAAATTTCTATGGAACAAATATTGTTCTTAGTTGTTAACACTTTGACTGCTGCGGTGGTCACTGATGGCCGGAGCTTCCAAATTACTGAAGAACAATTACAATAAAAAACTTGATCTTAAATAAAAATATTTATAATAGTAACATAAGTAGATAGATCATAGCGTAATATGACTACTGTAATACTAAATCATTAATAATTATTTTCAATATTATTTACCTTTGTTATTAAAGAATGAGTATTACTATTCAAAACGCTAGATATTCTCGTGGCAGTCAACGTGTTAAAGGATTTGACTCGGTTCTTCGGTTTTTTTGTAGGTTAGACAGCCCTTGTTTTGTAGCTTCTGAATATATCGTGTAATAATTGAGTGGTTCATTAAATCAATTTTTTGACATTTTCTGATTTTTGTAAATTTTGATTGTAGAACGACATATCTTTGCATTTATCAAAATTATCAGCGCAGGAGAATTTTATAAATTATTGATCGATCTATTATAAAATTATTAATTATCATTAATTTCTTTATTATACTTTTTTTAATTTACGATCACAGCATTGCTATAAACAAAGCTATCTTTGTTTGAATTTACAATAACTGAATTGATCGAATTGATCGAATTGATCGAATTGTAAAATTATTAATTATCAGTTTGATAACTTAAGTTATTGTAAATTGTTTATAACAATGCTATCATCGAGAGGTAAGCTAAAAAATAATATTTATATCTTGAATACCACAACCGAGCAGCAAAGCAGGTATAAAAAAGAGTTATTCGGTCATTCAACAGGTAACATATTTTAGAGTCATTAAAATCACTGGGTGGTATCATTTCCGTATAATTTTCGAGAGTTTCATTTGATTATTCAGCTCTGTTTCCATGTTTCTCGAACTTGTAATCTGTTATAATGGCATGAATAGTAATGAGCAATTGTCAGAACAGGATATTAATGTGGAAAATGAATAAATAAAGCTTCCACTGACACTTACCTCCTCTGAATTATTTAGCTGTAGCGTATCTGGCGCGGAGTAATTTTATTCTAGATGGAATTGGATTTACTAGTGTAATAATAATATGATTTATTAGTAGAATAGATAAGGAAATGAAGTGGAAATACTATTGAGTGGTGTCATCCACAGGCACGCGATATTCACGATATCAAAACTGGCTGGCTCAGCGGAGTCTGCTTCTAAATGAATATTAAAAGAACTGAACTGAATAATCCTATTCGAAGAATTATTTTATTTCAAGTATTTCTACCGAATATGATCATTGTTACGAACATATAGAATGTAACAAAATTGCGCACAAATGATGGGGCGAGTTACAACTGAAACATCCGAATGTTGGTTTCAAAAATATAGAATGGAAAATATCGGGTTCTATTTAAAAACTGTCACGTGACCTCTGTAGGGCGTTTCAAGATCACCTCAAGGTCAAACATTTGGATACCGTAACTTTTGTTTGACAGAATTTTCTTTGCGACTATGTTCGTGTAACAAATTTTACTACCAATAACTCGCAAGAAAAACAAATTTCCCATTCATCGTAAACGGAAGTTTATTCCGAAGATAAATACACTGAGAGCAAAATAGTTGCTCACTTCTATCTATGTGTAATAAATAACGGGTCTTTTATTAAATTGTTCGAAAAATGTTTACCACTAGTCTCGCTTGTTATTATACGGCAAGGGATTAATAAATCACTGTAAATGATCTAATACTGTAGATTTACATTAATCGAATGGTTTCTGAATTCTTCATTGAATTAATTAATCGACTTCAACAGAGTCAGCATATTGCTTAAAATGCTTAACACGTATGAGAGTCGTTTCAAGTTGAAGTCCCACTTAAACTAATCGCACAAGTCATTTTGAATTCAACACAGTGAACTGTCAATAAACGCGATTGTCAATTGTCTATGTTCACGTAAGACCATTCAACGGTTAAGGTTCTCCTGTAATTACATAACGGCGCGGTACAATGGACGTATCAAGCTTCGAAGATTCATAAAATTCAGATGCAACTTTTAATCTTCTAATTGCGACATGCGTCACCTCCCAATATTCAACATAAAAATATAAAATAAATAATTTTTTTAATAATTTAGATATTATAGACGACCTAATATGTTAGCAACATAAAATGCACATTTGATGTTTGTATGTTGCACCCTTCGCACCCCCGAGTTGGCACGGCCCTGCTAATATCATTCGTTTAGTCTGTTGCATCGGCGGCAAAGAAAATCTGGGCTGTTTCCTGCCCTCGAAAAATCTGAGAGAAGTACCGGGGGTTCCTCGATGCTTCCAAAGCTTCGGCCCGCTTCTCCACCCACGTCCTCGCGGTTATATCTCCGTTCCAATCCTGTGCCACCTAAGCTGAAACACGACTTGACCGTCACGATTTCGTCGTCTCTTTTTCCTCCCCCGAGGCCTGTCCTTCCGTTTTCTCCAGCCGACCTTCCAATTTCTACCAACCACGATGCCCTTGCTTCCGTTAACGAAGAGCAGGCGGGAATGATGTTTTCCATTTGCAATTTTTATTAGTGCTGATTACTTTATAACGGAGTAATTAAACCCTTCATGTATTATCTACTTTTTCTACTAAGCTCGTGTTTTTTTCTATCGACAATTCTGAAGAAATGCAAGACAATTGTCCATTCTACTTCAAGTGGAAATTTCATTTGGAGATAATACGTTGATCATAGCAAAATAGTTGTTTGCGTTGATTCGTGGGTAATGAACAACATTGATTGTTGTTCAGTTAGTCCAGAAATCTTCATTACGAGTCTCACTCATTGTATCGCAAGGGATTAAACGATGATTAAATGAACTTTCATGTTTGTAATACTAAGTTGCAAACAAATTATTTAGGAGTCTCGCTCGTCATTGTACGGCAAGGGGTTAAGGGAAAGTGTCCCCGTTTCGGGACGCAATAAATAGAGCCAGAGCAACGTTGACAAGAGGGGGTCAAGAAGGGGCAGTCCTAAACACTGCCTTCTCAAATCATTCTTTCTGTAATCTCCTAGCCAGTAACATTGCAGCTAAAAGACTACATTCTAACAAGTTTTCATCATTTTATTTTGCACCTACAAAATCTTATCTTACGTGCAGTTGAATATCGCCATCTCTCTTGGAATCACCTCATCTATGTCCTCATTCACCGGCGACAACCTCCTACAGTTACCATCGCGAATTTCCAGAAAGCAAACACAGAATTCTTCCTACTCTATAATACCCAATATAAGATAGTCTTAGCGAAGGGAAAGTGAAACGGTAATCGTCCACGCTTCATCAATCGGTACCTCCTTAACCCTTAGCACTCCAGGTTGTTTTGTAATTTATCAGCAACTGCAACTAATTTTTACAGTATTCCTAGCGAAAATGAGAAATGCTATAACATTTCTACGATCTTTTATTTTCCTTCTTAGTACAAAATTCGGATGTGTGGAAAATCTAATAATTCTGGGTATTTTCTTTAAGATTCATTAAAATATTTAATATTATAACCGCTGCAATATTGAAGCCTACAGAGTTCAAAGAGTTAAGGGAAAGCGACCTCAAGTACCGAGACGCAATAAACAGAGTCAAAGCAACGCTGACAAGAGGGTGTCCTAAACACAACGCCTTCTCAAGTCTAACATTGCAGCTCAAAGATCTCACTTGAACAAGTTTTAATTTTATTTTAGACCTACAGAATCCTACCTTCCATGCGTTTGAATATCGCCATCTCCCCTAGAATCACCTTACCACGTCCTCGTTCACCAACAACCGCCTATCATCACCAAGCAGCACAATCGCGACACAAGCAACTTCCCAGAAAGTAAACAGAATTCTTCCTACTCTAATACTGAAAAACCAGGAAGCGCGTCTTCAGTCCTCTGGCGACTCTTATTTCGCCAGCTTCGATCGTCGCGTTCATCTTCGTCCGGTCTCCTTGGTTCGCTAGCCCTCAAGGGTTGTGCAGCGGGTGCAATCGACGCTCGGCCCTGCTATGTAATTCCCGTCTCGTACGACATCGATAAACTCTCGAGGGCGTTCGTGCCCGAACGGAAGTCATCCGCGTTGACGCGCACGCACCGGGTTCTCATCTCTCGTCGCGGTCGGCGAGATGCCGGCCAACACAATTGCGCACCGCTGCAGACTGCCGCGTAAACACGCAACACCCACACGCGGAACAGAACAAACAGCTATATAGAGTCTCGCGGAGGCCGCGGCTGAATGCCGGCTGGCTGGATCCGCGGAAGCGACGCATCATTTTTCAGCTGGAAAATGCGAATTCAGCCACGGCCTGAAAATTCACATCGAGGCCTCATAATGCATCCGACTGCTATCACCGACGAG